GGCTGCCGGGCTGGGGGCGATTCCCGGCCCGGGTGGGGCCCGGGGGACCCCCCCCTGCGCCTCACAACGGCCCCCCCGCTGGGGGGGGGGAGGCATCTCCCCTGGCCTTCAGGGCCTCCCTCCCTCAGGGCCACAGCAGGAAACGGGGATGTGGGAGTAAGCGCCTCCGTTTTTTCTTCCATCCACCTAACAGCCACCCCAATTTTCTACACGCGCGCACACACCCCCACCCACCCCTGTTTTTCGTGCCAGGCCTCTCCCCGCTATACGCTAGGCCCCAGGCCCTGTGGAGCAGGGTTAGGGCCCAGCTGGAGGGTCTGCCCCATGCTGCAGCCTGGGCCTTGTTCCCCCTCAGGGCTCCCCCTGCATTCCTCAGGGTTTTCCCCCTTCCTCAGGGCCTTCCCCCCCCCCCCCCCCTCCCCTTTCCTCAGGACTTTTCCCTTTTCCTCAGGGTTTGCCCCCCATTTCCTCTGCTCCGTTTGGTGGAGAAGGGTGGGTGTGCTCCACACAAAGCAGCCCATGGTAAACAGGGACAGTGGGGGGAAATGGCTCCTGGCTCCCTGACCTTGGCTAGGAAGCTGGCCCCGGCTGCAGCTAGGGACAGCATCTTGGCCAGCTTGTCTGCTGGCTGTTTTGCAGGTCTCAGGGGAGAAGAGCCAGCCCGCCTGGCTCTTGGCAGTGCTGGAGGGTGACCTAAAGAAATTGGCAAGTGCTTGCATAAGGCAAATCTCTCTGTGATCCTGTACAGCGCTACCCCTTCTTGGCAGCGAAACGTCATGTTGTTGGTACTTCCCAGCCCAGGCTAAGAAGGCCTTTCCAGAAAAATAAGGTGCATAAAAGATCAATGTTGAACTACTAAAGGGTTTCAAAGGAAAGCATTAAAAATAACGTGAATAGTAGTGCTGGAAACACTACGTCATAAAGTCCATGTAGGTAAACAAAAGTTGCGAAATCTGTAATATTGGATTCTATAAATACTGTCAAGATGTACTTCTGAATGTATTGTGAAGTCTGTGCGATCCTTAGAGCTAATCTGCTTTTTTGTGGTTCCCTTTGAAGTTTGCATTCTGTGAAATGAGGATTGGGTAGCTCAGGGTGTTGCTAATGGGGCGTAGTGCAGAGCTTTCACCTTTAGGAACGCGGGCCAATCCAGTCCAGGTCAGCAGTGACAGGAATTGCAGTGCTGCAATGCTGTTTGGGGACAGCTGAGGTGAGCGGGGTGGTGGTTTCAGTCCAGTCCTATTGGACAAAGATTTTTATTAGGTTTAGTAGGCCAAAGAGAAAATTGCAAAAGTAACTAAATTATACTTGCTACTGGATACAGTCCTCCTAGATCAACATTTAGACATGCTAGTAAGCAAACACACACCAGTTTGCAAACCTGACTGGCATTTTTCCTGCAGGCTGAAATTTATTAGAATATATCACATTTAGTTCAAATAATTGGATAGACTTTAATATGAAATGTTCGTGCAGTTTGGCTCTGAAAACTTGAATCACTATAAAGCCAATAGTCTTTGACATAGTCTCTCTCTGTGTGTATTCAGGAACAATTCTCCCTTCTTTGCTGATGTTAACGAATGATTTATTGCAGGGAGCGATATAGAAACATGGCAGTAAAAGAGGAAGCTGAATTCTACTGCCAGCTGGCCATTATTTAAAGAATTCCCCATTCAGTGCCAATGGTCAAAAACTTTCCGATTCTGGGCTCAGTGTGTAGGAGAAAATATAATTTTGAAAGCCGCTAAATTTTATCTAGAAATCAGAGACAATAATCATAAAACTGTAGTTTATAAAGTCCATTTGCAGAGCAAAACCTTGCTTGTCTCATGTTCCACTATGATGCCTCATTTTCAGTCCCATACCCAAACTACTATAACATTATGCTTATGTTGAATTATTTTCATTGTTGGAATGAATTTTAAAATATTATTTTTAGGATTTGGTAGGTTTTTAAAATTTATTTAAATGTATATACTATATTAAAGCCCAATTCTCTGTCTCCAGCTGTGTCTGAAGAAACTCTAAAGCTTCTTAGATAATTTATTTATAAAATGAGGAAATCATACTTGACTGTCATCTAAAGGAAAGGTTCTTGGTCAATACTACAGCCAGGAAAGTACACAGAATGATAGCACTTACCTGTGAAGATGAGAACTTCAGATTCTTAGCGCAGTGTATCTTCCCCACAGACAGCCTAGTAGAAGATTTTCCATCTATATATTTTTGTACCACATTGCATTATTTCTCGATGCTGGGTGTCTACTTAAGCTGAAATACATAAAACCATGAAAAATCTGAAATGTTTAAAATCTAAATGTTTTCAACTAGTGATACATGGTTTCTTCACTCACAGTAATGCCACTTATACTTGAATTAGAATCATAGAATCACAGAATGGTTTAGTTTGGAAAGGACCGTGAAGATCATCGAGTTCCAACCCCCCTGCCATAGGCAGGGACACCTCCCAGTAGACCAGTGGACCTGTTACCTAACCAAAGTTAATCAAGATGTCAAAGATCTACCAAAACTCAGTTAAAAAAAATCACAAAGTGAGATTACAAAATGTAATTTGCTCTTCAAAGGATAGATTTCCAATATGCCTTGGATGTGCTACTTAATTGTTTTCTGTAAATCACTACATTTTGCTTTTCTTTGCCAAGAATTATGAGAAATGTAGGCATGGAGGACCAGTTTTTCAGTCCAAGAAGAAATCAATGAGCATCAAATGCTTTCTGTTGTTGTTACTTTATATATCCAAATCCTTTTCTTCCAGCAGGCATAGTAGCAAATGGTACAAATGGCTATTTTTTCTTGCAGACAATCCAGGAATGGCATCAGTGCAGTCAAGCAGTGGTTTGGCTCTGTGTATCTGAAAGCTTTGGTACCAAATTCAGTTCCTGATGCTTAATGTCTCTTTCTTGCTTAAAACCCCTTTGGTAATGTGGTTTCTCCTAGATCACGCTGTCAAGACCAGTGGTCTGCTCACTCACTTCTCAGCAACCAGGTGATAATTTCTGTAAGACCTGGCTAACAGTGCTCTGTTTCACATGGTATGGCGGATGGCATGTTTGTAATTCTGTTTTTGCTGACTGTATGCTGTGACTCTTGTTCAGAGCACTTACATCAGTAACCACTAGCAACCAAGCCACTGGTATCCTTTGACATTACACTGTAGTTACTCGATGCTGTAGTTAGTGTATGAAAACAGGCACTGGCAAACCCATCAAAAATCACAATAACTCTATCCCTTGTTTTCCTAGGACATGGTTAAACCAGATCTCTAAAACTGACTGGTATCCCATAGACGCACACATATTACCATTCTTGAGCCAACTGGCACTTTCATGTCTTGTACCCGTAAGTGGCCTTCCTTAATACACCACCACCACCACGAAACACTCAATTTGGGAGTATCTGAGTCCTCCAGAAACACAGCCCCCTGAGGTCTGGTACGGCCACGGCTCCTGGCCCTCGGCAGAAGGGAGACTGTTGCAAAAGCTGCGTTTGCAGCAGTCCTTTCTTTGCGGCAGCGCTTTCCTATCGTGGCAAGTGCCTGTGCGGCGCGGCCGTGCAGCATGCTGGATCCTGAGGGCAGTGTGGAGCATCAGCCTTCCTCTTCCTTCCCCAAAGTTCTCCTCATCCCTCTAGCCATGCTCCTTGCAATTGCAGCGCTCCTGCTCTTAGCCTTTTCCGCTACGCAGCAGAAAGAGCCTGATTTTTACACTTTCAAAGTTGTAAACATCAGGGGCAAACTAGTCTCTCTGGAGAAGTACAGGGGCTCGGTAAGTCCGCGCGGGACGGGCGGCGCTCGCCCTGGCTCGCTAAACCGGCCGCTCCGTGCATGTCTGCGGAGCCCGAGCGGGGCGGAGAGGCGGTTGTACATTAACTGGGTGGCCGCATGCAGATGGATTTGGGGTTCCGACTCTTCTGGCGCTGGTCTGGAGCCTCGCCCGCATGCTGCCCGCGATAGCGCTCCGCGGGGCTCCGCGCTCTTCAATAAAGCCTTTGCCGTCTGCCAGCAGGACGAGCCGCACCGGGTTGCGGCTGTTCACTTTGAAGCTCAGGAAGTTTCTACCTTTGTATAACTTACTTTTGGAGCTTATTTCTGCCTTTTAACTGCGTGACTTTTAGTGAGTTATTTTTTGCCTAAATCCCATTCCATTTTAGTGATCTGCATTAAAAAAAAAAAAAAAAAAGATTAGATTTAATCAGCGCCTAATGGATTTAACAGATTTCAGTATAATTAGTAAAAAAGCAAGAGACATGATAAAGCAATTCTTTTAATATCAGTGTATAGTGAAATTGTAGCAACATCATGCTACTCACCTCGTCACTTTTTAGCGTGGCTGAGCAATATGAAGAAGGGCATATGGACACAAATATACTTTTATGATGTTTTTTAAATTTCTTTTACATATGATATGAAGGAGTTCTAGGCAGAGCTTTCCTTCCCATTTTAAGAACAATATTCTTGCATGTAACCTGATCTTTTTTTTTTCAGTGGTTTGACCATCTAGGAAAGGTAGTGCCTGTGGAAGAGTGAAAAGGGAAGTTAGCAGACAGGGCGCATAATACTATAAGTTCTCATAGACACATTGACAAATTACAGAAGCTGAAACCAACATAAAGCCCACAACCGCTGCCCTCAGCACTCAAATGACCCATGTCCTGTGATACAGCCAGGCAGCCCGACAGCTTAGCCGCTGCCCAGAAAGGCAGGCACCATGTCTAGCTTTCACCCTTAGTCTCCAGCTTTGTGTTTCCACCTTCCTTTTCCCCCTCCTCAGGTACTTCACTGAGGTGTCTGAGCTCACTGGTCTGCAGCAGCAGGTCACTAAAACATTGGCAGGAAGACAGAGCAGGCCCATGGGAGAAGATGTACATTTTTCTGGTCTCAGTAGAAAAGGGCTACTGGTGGATTTGGACCAAATGAGAGGTCTGAACCTTACCTGGTCAAAGTCCTCCTCCCCTCCCGTTTACAATTCAGATAGAGCAGAACTGGTCCAATGCACACTCAAATATCTACATTGGAAAAAGCATGGAAGCTATTTAATATTAAGCAATATTTGCTTTTTTTTTAGGAGTTTCTTCCAAAGGCTCTGTCAATAAATCCTGTTACTGGGGCATGTTTTGTCTGCAGGTCATCTGCAAATCTGAATAAGCAAATACCACTTGTAGCTTCTCTACCTCAGGGCTAGAATCCACATGGAAAGGAGTAAAGGGAGTACTCAGAGGAATTCCTTACAGCCACCCTGCAGAGAGCTGAGGGTGTTCATCCCCTCCCGAACAAGCTGCAGGGCCTGCCCTGGTATCTCCTGACCACGCAAGGTTTGGGGGGTGTGTCTGAATCTCCAGGGGTGCTATGATACCGGGCCATCCTCGAGGCTTGACTGGTCTCATAAGGGAGAGCTCTAGAGCCATACCTTGGAAAAGGTAACACTGTTGGTGAATGGTACTCCTTGGTCTCTGCTAGGCCATTTGGAATAGTTTATTCCAAAAAAGTGATGACCAGCTTCTGTATGGAACAAAAAGATTTGCATTCACAGAGCCTAATAACATTCAGGCTAGCTGCTGTTTGAGAATGCATGTGCACAATTTTAAAGAAAATTATAGCAGTAAAACGCATCCCTTTCTGTCTTTATGTTGTCAGAACTCAATATCAAGATAGACAAAGGTTAATTAAAACTCCCATTTGCTTCTTAAAATAGACCTGTTTAAATCTTAAGTTAGATAAGTAATGTTAAGATGTAGGTTTATCATAATATTTTAAAGCTATTAAAAGAAAGCAAATAATGTATAAGTACTACGTATGTGCTGCTGGTGTTTTAAAGAAAGTGAGTCACTAGTTAGCCCCTGGAACAATAGTCTGCTAATTGCTAAACCAGCTTTTACAGCCTTAAGCTTTCTGGTAGATGTAGAGAAAACATTTGCTTCGATTCAGTCACTCAACTAATTTAGTTAAATAACTACTTAATTTGTAGTCCAGAAACTAAATGGGAATTGAAAAAATCCAAAAGCTTACAGAATATTTTAAAAAAAAAAGTCTGCTAATTCTAAAAATGCAAGAGCCATGCTAAGTAGAAACAATCAGTGCAATTCATGACTTGCAGAATCTTTCTTCAGTATCTATCATGAATATAAAATATTGTCTATTCAGATCATTGAGATAATTTTTCTCAGTAAGAAAAAAGTACGACCGATTAATATTCTTTCATTTTCCATCCAAGTGCATCTTGATACAAATCACAAATACTATCTGTTATATAGCGAATAAGAAATGTACTAAAAATTCTGAAATAACAACAATGAAAAAAATTAAGGAATAGACTTTTTTTTTTTCCTGAAATAAATGTGCACAAACAGAAACTACCTGCCACTTTAATAAAAATATCAAAAATATGTGAGGGAGTACTCCCTTTTTATGGGGGCATAAGAAATTCTATTGCCAGAATGCAAAAAATTCAGCATACATGCTACAAAATCAGGTATGATATTACATCTACCTGAAGGCAGAGAAAGGGAAGACTATTATGACTGAAAAAAAAAGAGTACCATGAGTGAAATAGATCAAAAGGTTGTCTGTTCTACTGTGCTGCACAAGAAGGCTATCCTGTCTTTCTTCCAGGCTGCCACCCTGATGTTGACCCATTAAAAATGAAGGGCAGTGATGTGTGGCTGGAAAAGAATCCACAGGATCCAACTGAGATTAGTTTTCTATCTAATCTATCTACCTATCTAATTCAGGAAAGCTTACATTTTGTTTTATGATCTCTGTCAGATATGCTGTAAGAGGCAGTATTCTTACCAAAAATAGTATCTATTTGGGAGTCCGAACTCCCAAGCATCAGCTATTCCCTGCTGTGTTTATACCTATGTAGATATAATAGTACCTACCTACCTGCCTGCCTGCCTGCCTGCCTACCACGCAGCTAAGTGCAGTGTGCTGAGGTGTAATTAAGCAGTTTTAGTGCAGTGCTTTGGAAATCTTGAACCAAAGGTACTATAATAATGTAAACGCATTAGTCGCTGTAACAATGTAAAGTGTTATTTTACTATTGAAAGTAATGCTAGGCACTTTGCATCACAGCTCTCTGCAATCTGAGAATGTAGTATTACTGAATGCATAAATACAGGGAATAGCTACTTAATTACTGTACAAAGTATTGCTATTTTTTTCCATGAAGGTAACAGCTCTGTGAATCGCTGTAATCGGGCACTTGTGGCTGGTTCTTTCATCAGTCAGATGGAGCCAGTTAAGAATCTCCTGATCTAAAAACCTAAGAATCTACTGTCTCTGCTAACAGATCCACCAAGGGTTACTTAAAGCTGATAGTAGATTCCTAAATCTCTCCAGTGATCTTTTCCTCAAGGAGGTACACTGGTGTAAACATTAAGTAAACCAAGAAATATTTTTGCAATGTTAAATAAATGAGTTCATTACTAGAATGCATGGGTTTTCTAAGCAAAGGGAAGGAAAGGATAGTACTAAGAGGACAGCCAACAGCTAATACGGAATTCAGCTTAAATTCAATAATTTTTGTAAGGTGCAGGATGAATTGTTTGCACTGCACACTAGGTGGTGTACTTGACTTGCACACTTAGAGCCTAAAGTCAGTCAAGAAGCACATTGCACTTAATTTAAATAATTAATAGTTGTAAGAAGTGAAAGTACAGCCTCTTTATGAGAACAAAAAGAGTGACTGTTATTTATTAAAAATAAAATAAAGACAAAAAATCACCATGTTTCATAGACTCCTAGCCCGCCCCCTTTCCCCCCTCCCGCAATGAGCAGGGACATCTTCAACTAGATCAGGGTGCTCAGAGCCCCGTCCAACCTGACTTTGAATGTTTCCAGGGATGGGCCATCTACCACCTCTCTGGGCAATCTGTGCCAGTGTTTCACCACCCTCATTGTAAAAAATTTCTTGCTTATATCTAGTCTAAATCTACCCTCTTTTAGTTTAAAACCATTACCCCTTGTCCTATCGCAACTGGCCCTGCTAAAATGTTTGTCCCCATCTTTCCTGTAGGCGCCCTTTAAGTTCAGAGAAACCACAATAAGGTATCCCCAGAGCCTTCTCTTCTCCAGGCTGAACAACTGCAACTCTCTCAGCCTATCCTCATAGGAGAGGTGCTCCAGCCCTCTGATCATTTTTGTGGCCCTCCTGTGGATCCCCTCCAACAGGTCCATGCCTTTCCTGTGCCGAGAGCCCCAGAACTGGACACAGTACTCCAGGTGGGGTCTCACCAGAGCACAGTAGAGGGGCAGAATCTCCCCTCTCGACCTGCTGGCCTCAGGTCAGCTTTTAATTTTATCTGTTGTGGTATCAGACATTTGAAAGACAATTTGGTAAGAGATTTTTAAACAATCATTTTAAACATTCTTTATGAAATACTAATAAATTCTGACAGTTTTTTATTATATGTGTTAGTTACACTGTCAGGAGGTTTGCACTATTACATTATGGAGTTCAGTAATAGAATGCATTTATTAAAGAAAAAAAGAGAAGCATAATATGTCTGCCATTTCAAGAAATGCTGTGTGTAGTTTCCTCCTATTTTGTGGGAGAACATTTGGAAGTTTGCACCATTGGCAGTGTTGAGCTTTCATGCCTTTCACCACCATGCTGAGTAATCACTATTTTTAAACAGCTGTAAATTAAAGTTGTTTCTTTTTGAGTGAATTCTTTCAAGCCCTCCTAACTTCAAAATCAAGTAAAAGTTATAAAAGCTTGATTGTTTTCATTGGCAAGTCATCTTTCGTATCTAATACAATATGAACATGATACTTCCACAACCTTATTTCCCCCAAATCTCCAATGATAAATTCTTACATTACCAGTGTATTTGGGAAAAGTACCAATAGATATGAAAACCATAAGGTGTATGAATACTTCTGCATTGGGAGAATGCTGAGACTTAAACTATACTTGAAAAACCCTCTAAAATTTTATACGAAAGCACTACATGTGACTTCAACTCTTAGTGTTACAATTTATCTTTACTTCAATCATACTAAACTACAGTTGTCACTATGCTTGGTAAATACAGATAATTTAAAAGGAACAGAACTGTCAATATTTTTTTTTTTTATGCCCAATGTGTAAGTTCTATTTTAAATGCTGACAGCTTGCAACAGGAATGCATCATAAAATTATTACCTCTTCTCTGAAAAAGAAAAATCCAAATACACGCCATATCTTTGGATGTTTTAGGGGACTGAATTTAAAATTTCAGGTAGAGCTTGTAAATGTAGTCTGAACGAATGTGATGCTTTGGAAGTTAGCTAGATGGCTCCAGACCATATTTCATATGCAACTGCACAGGGATTGCTTACATTGTATTCTGTTGACACACTACACCACAAAGATTACATCAATTTCTGCTTTATAAAATTACCTGTCTTCCAGGGGAAACAGTGCTGCTCTGAAACCACTTTAAATATAGCCATATACCTATACAAGATACAAAATACACAAAGTAAGTGTTAAAATTTAGTGTAAGAAATTATAAACACCAACATCACCTTAGCTTTTTCTTTACTCATTCCTACCCCTTCTAGGGATTTCATCTTATGATCCCATACCTTACCCAGATTATGGGCTTTTATATGTCAGTTCGTTTTCTGGCCTTAAAGACACTACACACACATAGTCATTTGTTTTTCATGTAATATAATTTATTTGATGCACTGTATTCATATTTCCCATATACTTTTGTATTTTGTATAGAAACATACACATAGGGATTTGGAACAATAGTAACATAAGAATCCAAAGTTTAAATTGAGCAAAGCCAGTGGCCACAGACAGAAGAGTCTGAGATCTGGAGTCAGGATTTTTTACTCTCTTTTTCTTGCCTTGCAGCTACTTGCTGTGTAATTTGATCAGGTCAATTAATGTGTTCAAGCTTCAGGCTTTCCTCTTGCCCCACTGGGCTATTCAACACTGCTGCCTCACACTGACATAATGAAACCAACATGCCAGCTTCTCTGAAACTTCCAAAAGGTCCAATGTAAACAGCTACTGGTGTTGTACAAGCACTGAGGAATGTGTTGGCTGCTTTGATTGAATTAATTTATTTTTTTTTTTTTTGCCATTTGAGAATGAAGGACCAGCTTCTGGGCTTCTAGAAACCCACTAGATTCAGAGTAAACCAGGTAGAATTTTGGTTCCTGAATCATAATGTATTTTCTGTACTACGCGTGATTTTAATCTAGGTGGGTAGAAACATTTTAGTATTACAATATTTATATTGCCTTGTGACTCTTACAGATTGTTCTGAAAAAAGGAATAGAATGTAGTTATATGTAAAAGAAACATTACTGTAAAGTGCATAATGCTATTTTTATTAACAAAATAATATTTTATCTAACAATTTATGACATTCAGCTTTAATCCACTCTCAAGAAAGCATTAGAATGGACTCAATTTATGTAGAATGAATGGCAATTCACACTTACAAAATTTCTAATAGTAATAAAAACTCTTAAGTCTAAAAACACATTCTGGAAGTTATTTAAGGATAAAATATCTCAAAAACCAATGGAAAACTCTTCATAGCCTTGAGAAGCTGTGTACTGTGTTTTAGCTCAGGGTTAGGTCACTTAATTTCCCCACCAAATTCTTGGTAGAATCTGTTCCAGCCTCTATTCTGCTTATACAAGCCTCTTATCTTCCTGTAGTGCTCCTCTATGTTTGGCATCTTCCTCTGCTGGATCTGCGCAGGCAGGTACGTGCCTGGTGGTAATGTCCAAATGACACAATGCGTACAATAGCAAAGATGAGCAGCTACAGGAATAACTCTTTAATGGAGAGTGGGCACAGTCTTTACTTCTTGGAATCTTTAATTGAGGCAATAAACCCTTATGCAAAATCTGTTGTCATTTTGGCGCAACTAAGCAGACTTACTCTAGACATGGTGGGAAATTTTACAGTCCATACTGCATAGACCAACCCAAAATCCTGTAATTGCTTCTGTTAACTTTCAGGTCAAGAATCACGAGCAGTGATAAATGGATCAGCCAGTTCTACATGAGTACTAAATTCTGTACGGGGCAGATGATGCAGAACAGATGCCTCACTATAGATAAATGAATTACCAAAAAAATATTATTTAGCAAGTTTCTTTCAAGCACCTTGGTATAGCTTAGCTGGATGGCTATTTCTTAAATATGCTTAGAAACTATCTCTGTAAACTGAGAGTTAAAATTGCTTAGCAGTTTATTGATTATCTTTGTGGTTGCCACATGGGAATACATAAAATAAATACTAAATCTTCCTATCGTGAACAGAACTCAATGTTAGTTTCACACATGAGTGTTCAGTCACAGTTCTCTAGACATGCTAATTTTTTGCAAATAATCTGCACCCCACTTTACCTGTTGGAAAACTGACATGTGCAGCACTTTTTTTAATCTCTCTCGTTCTTTAGGTGTCGCTAGTTGTCAACGTTGCAAGTGAGTGTGGGTATACAGATAGCCACTACAAGGCCTTACAACAGTTACAGAGAGACCTCGGCCCATATCATTTCAATGTGCTGGCATTCCCGTGCAATCAGTTTGGGCAGCAAGAACCAGACACTAACAAAGACATTGAGAGTTTTGCGCGGAAGACTTATGGTGCCTCCTTTCCTATGTTCAGCAAAATTGCAGTCAGCGGAGCCGGTGCAATTCCTGCCTTCAAGTACTTAATTGGTGAGTAATCTGGAACACTGGAGGGTTGTTTCCCCAGCGTAGAGTTCCTCTGACACAAAATACCATCCGACAGAAGAAAGATAGCTATGACTGTGTTCACAGAATCATGGTTCAGAATTGTCAGGCTCAAAGAGGTCAGAAGTCATGCAGTCTGTCCTCCTCCACACGGCAGTATCTCTCTCTGTCACCCCTGACACCTTTGTCTAACCTTCTAAAAAGATCTCCAGGGATGAAGAGACTATGATAACAAATGCCCTACATGGAATTCAGGTCTTGAAATATTCTCCTGTATGCATGCAACACCTGATCTTCCTTTTTCCGATTTACAGTCCCGTAAGTGCTTCTCCTGTGACACAACTGCTGCAGGTTGGATTTATAAGATTCATCTCAAGAGCTGTAGGATAAGTGGAAGCAAAGTGCCTACATAATTTACTTCAACAATCAAAAAGTGAAACCAGGCACTAAGAGATGTTCTTGAATACTCCCGTCCTCATTTCTTGCCAAGCATTGCGATGGCCACACTGTACAGTTCCTCCAGTTCTAATCTGCAGTATAGCTCGCATTGAGACCTGAAGAGGTTTTGCTGGTTCTTAGCATACAGCTGACAAAATACACTGTAAAGTGGAATATTCTCTATCAAGGCGCTACTTTTCTTGTACTGAACAAATGCTCTAAACGCTATTTAAATGCTAAACTAAAATGTCAGTCTTTATTCAATGTGAAGGAAATGTCTTCCAGCAGTGACATATAATAAAGCCCAATATCACGTGGTATCACCTGAGCTGTATTCTGCAAGGACCATATCACTACTGCTTTTCGCGAGCACCACAGTGTTCTCCCACATACCGCTGAATTTAAGGATTGTTGGTAGTATTATTTTTGACTACCCCAAACGCACCTCCTTCCAGGTGTCTGTAATGGATCCTTCTGCTCACCAAACTTCCCTTTAATCCTCTTCCCATCCTTCCATTTCTGTTTTGCCTAGTGGGGTCTTTACTGCAGACACGTCACATGAAACTTGCAAAAATTCTGTTTCCCTGTTGGTCCACATGCAAAGGCAGGCTGCTGGAGGCAGTATTTTTTATGCAGCATAATGACAAGACAGTAAACAGTGTAGGTCCGGTGGTGTCTTCATGATACTTGGAATTATATTCTGATTCCATATAAGATTTTGCCCAACATATAATGAATGGAAAAAGATGCTAATTTTCTGTAGCGTTTGTACTTGTGCTATTAGTGGGATGAAGCTCCTGGTCTGATTGAAAATCCTGAAAATTTTGTTAGTCGTGTAGCGGAACAGTAAAGGATAAGAATGCGACTCGTAAAATGAGTATGTGGTCATGGAGGGAGAAACTGTAGTAGATAAGGATTAGGAGGAAACCTCTTGGAACAATTTACTTTGTTATTTCTTCATGTAGCATTTCTTGAAACCTTCCGAAGCACATGATACTGGGTGCTTTTGGAGGAAAAATTCTAGATAAGCAAGCAAATAATCAGTCCTGGTACAGCTATATTGTCAGGCCAAATTCCATTTTCCTATCAATGTTCAACTGTTACAGATTCATCTATATAGCACAGATACACACACACATGCACGTACACACTTTAACACTGATTATAGTGCTTTCTCCTGTCTGTCTGTCTGTCTGTCTCAAGCTTGACTGTTTCCATTAGTCTCCAGGGGGCTACTGTCAAGTTAAAGCTCCTTGTCTGTCAGAAAATTAATCTAATTATTCAGTCTGAACTCCCCCTTAATTTTACATTCCTTCTTCCTCTGAGACAGTAATCATCAAATTGACATGAACAAATGTTAGGAACTGGCTAACGTGGTTTTCTATTCTAAGTTTCTACTTTTTTTTTGGCTGTAGATTCTACAGGAGAAGAACCAACCTGGAACTTCTGGAAATACCTGGTGGACCCCAATGGGAAAGTAGTAAAGGCCTGGGACTCTACTGTCTCCGTTGAAGAAATAAGACCTTATGTTACAGAACTTGTACGGAAAATCATCCTGAAGAAGAAAGATGAATTATGACTTTCAAAAATCCCAGCATTCTGATTACATCTTTATTGAGAATTAGGGCTGAACTTTGTCTTTTCACATTCCAAAACAGAGTATATCAGGAAGGGAAATCATGACCAGCAGAACCTAAATTCATCATCCTAAGAATGTAGAAAACAGCAAGTTAGCGTGGTAAAAGTAATTTAAACTTTTTCTCCAACTGAATTCAATTTGACCTTTCTGGGAAAGAAGAAGTCATCAGCAATTGTTTCTTTCCCAATTCAAATTATTAAGTATTGGTGACACTATAGAAAATCAGTTCATGTACCTGTAGCAAGAAGGCTCAGAATAAAAAGAATTTCCTGATTGGGATCTCACTGACATCTACAAATCTGTGTCATATTTTGATCACAAACTGAATGAAAAAATAAAAAGTGCATGATTTAGTTAAGGCATGTGCTAGGAAGAGGGCCAAAACAGATACCTTCAAACCAGGCAGACTTACATAGATGTATCTCTATCTAGTTACCAAGGCCAAATAGATGTGATTTCGTCTGCCTAGAAAGTCAGTTAAGAAGGGCATTTTGAAAAGACATCTATAAAACTTAAATTAAAGAAATGTGAAGACAAAGTCTCTGTAAGAATTCTCCAAAAGCTATGAGAAGAATTTCCTCATTGTTTCACCCAGTAAAGTTTATCATATGATATTTAAATAGCCATTTGAACATCTGTAGGACCACAGCCTACATGAAATGGCTATTTCTTTCTTCTATTACCATTTTGCCTTAGAAGAATTACTCTCGCCTTACACAATTGATGTTAAATTTATTTTTCAATTTATAACACCATCTGATTTTACTGCATATACAGACAAACATTAAAGAATCAACATTTTTCCATGGAAACAATTTTTCAAATGTTTAATTGTTGCATAATGTTACATTGTTTAATACCAAATTAATGCTACAAATGTTTAATGGCACCTTTTTCAAATGTGGCACTCAGGCATCTGTTCAGATTTCAGAACTTCTTAGCTCATACTAAAATAACACCACAAACAATTACAGCCTCATTGTTCTTTGACAGAAACCCCTTGAAAATCTTGTCAGCAAGAACTCTTTTTATCACAACAAAAACACGAAGTACAGGTCCCCTGCTCTTAACCCCAGGATGCTTTAAGAAGAATCTAGTCTTGTCCAATTGCAGTATTATTGACGAGTGAAAGCTTTTTTTTGGCCTTGTAATGCTTTTTAAAGTAGCACAAACAATATTTGTCCATATAGTTGTCAGCGCCCAAGTGTACAAATAAGCCTTAATTGACTTAATGGACCACGGTAAGAACTTCTTCCAACTCATCACTGCCATTATAGCTCTTCAGTATCCAAACATGCTGCAACTGAAATCAAAGGTGAGTATGGCACGCAGTGGCTTGCAGAACAAGAGGGGAAAGAAGAGTACTGAAGAACTATTGGAAATAAAAATGTTGATCCTAGAGTACATTATAGTTCCCATGCTTGAACAGCTGCTGTGTCCTGAAGTCTTGGACTCATTCTATGGAGTGGTATAAAGAAGTAAGAGCTAGAGGTACTTTAGGATTTGCAGAAAGACTCTGAAGGGCAGAGATTGTACTGCACAAAATAAACTCAATTTGCCTGAAAGAAGCTGAGAGCAAGGTTTTCCACTTTTTTTGTAAAAAAAAAAAAAAGGAGGTGGGGTGGTGGAAGAGAGAATAAAAGGAAGAAGTAACAGAAGTACAAGAGCAAAAAGAGAGATCAAGTGCAAAGAGAGAAATGAGAAAAGACAGTTTGCAGCCAAAGAATCTTTGGGACAAACAGGGCATGTAAATGTTCAGGTCATAATGATACTAATGAGTATGTTCCAAGATATATCAGCTACTTGTCACTCAGAGTGTAACTTAAGAGTGCAGGAAATTGGTGCTTGTGGCAGTGAATATGCCTGTATGTTCCTCCTCTGATGGTGAGAAAAGTAAACTCTACATTCCATTCAGTCATTTATTCTATTCTTATGTGAATCACTCTAAGACAATGTTTATAAAGAATGAAAAATCAGGGCCAGCTGTTACTGTGCTGGGACAGAGAATCCAACTACTAGAAAAGGAGGTCCTTTATTACTCTATAGATGGTTTCTCTTTTCTCTGCCCATTGATACTAACACAACGCCACAGCATGCTGTTAGCAAGTGCTGCAGGGCTTAAAATTTTCTCCTTAGAAAGTATGTTTGTATCTTATAACTGAAGCCTGGATGAGCCCAGACCATGCTTTGAAAGACATTTTAAACCCTCTCTATTTCAAGTTTGGGTGTCCAACTTCAAACAGAACTCTGGATTTACATAGATATGACCTTGCATTCTCTGTTAGACAAATTCTAGAGGTCTAAAGAGATAAAATGGCAATGATCAGTTGGAAAGGGTTCATACTTCATGGACAAATATTGTTTGTGCTGATTTTAAAGGCATTATGAAGCACAAAAAAGCTTTCACTCGTCAATAATGCTGCAATGGGACAAGACTAGATTCCTCTTATAAAGCAACCCAGGGTTAAGCGCAAAGGACCTGTACAATGTGGTTTTGTTGAAATAAAAAGAGTTCTTGCTGACAAGATTTTCAAAGGGTTTCTGTCAAAGAACAATGAGGCTGTAATTGCTAGTGTTATTATTTTAGTATGAGCTAAGAAGTTCTGCAGTCTGAAGTCTGAGCAGACATCTGAGTGCTATGAATAACTTAATAGTGATGACTGTTAGAGTTGGTGTTCTTACCAGATTGGCAATTTAAAGGGAACTAAGGTAAGTATTACATATGCAAACTTTGAAACAACAACAAATTTGAACAGGCACATGATATTAAGGACATAACTATTCTCTCTGAAGTTAACAAATATTTTCATGATTAAGTTAAGTATGTGGCATATATTCCATCTTTTTTTTTGCATTGGATAAGTTTGTAGAACAAATGCTTTTGTCTTTTAATCAAGTTGCAGAGTAAAAGTAAATATTCTTGGTCATAAATTAATTCATATTTAGTCATGCTATAAGTACTTCATTACTTCCTGCTCAGAAAATTGCAAAGCAAAGTGCACCGGGTTGAATTTGTCTGTTGAGGCTATATAGAGGGCATGCAGAGATCAGAAATTACTTTTCTGGCTCATGAGTTCCATCAATGTTTTAATCTGACAGAGATCTTCCCTACAGCAAGTCCCAAAAACTGTAAAACAGCTCTGAATATACAGCATGAGACTATTTTCTTTGCAGCTTGTCTAGTTTGCAGAGAAAATTTTAGTGTGCGTTAACAAATGAGCACATTTATGCGTGGAGAATGATTATCTTAATCATCTAAGAGTTGATCTCTTACAGTTTGCAGCTTTGAAGGTATAAACTCTTGGCATGTTGATTTAAATGCTAAACTAAGCTCCTAGACACATGTGCCCCCTGTGGAATGCCAGAGGGAAAAGAAATAATTTTAAAGCCTAATTATAAGTTTAAAATTAGACAGGACACTTTCAATCTTTCAAAATTTTGTCTCATAAAGAATGTAAAATCAGACCTACAGATATCCAATGCTCTGTTTTGAAACGGAATATGCTACATTGAAATAGAGGAATTGAATGGAGCAATAGAGAGGGGCTTAACCCCCCTTTTTTTTCACATTGTATTGAGAACAAAACCAACTAGCCTAGTTATCCTGACAGCCACCTCTGGGATTTTAGTTATACGCTAGGGACATTTCACTTAATTTTCTATTGTGATTCTGGTCTGAATGCTCAGCAGCAAACCAGACACAATTTCTCTCTGCTGGATGGTACCCAGTTTATCGTTTCAAACACAGAGCATCTGGTTCTATAAATAGCTGACCATAGTCAGTACTTTCAGACAATTGGACATCCCTTTGATTGAGCAAAAAAAAAAATTATGCTACGTTCAATTATTGGATCAACCAAATACGTCCTACACAGATGTAAATTTATACTGCAGCTACTCAGAAAGCCAAATGACATTTAACAAGCTTACCTCTGATTCATTCACAGAGTCGAGTAAGCAGAGAATTCAGGTATTCTCTGTGACATGATTAACAGATTGTGGAGTAAAAACATCAGTGACAAAACACAAAGTAGTTTACAAACCCTTTGATGGATGAGATACTGAAAGCAGCAAGAGATTTGAGAACTAATTCTGAACCATATTAAAGTTCGATAGCAGAGACATACACAGGGCAGAAGGAAATAACTGAGCTGTACCATCACAGAGGTGACTCTCATCTAATGCTACACAGCCAACTCACCTACCTAGTGAGCTCACAAACATAGTGATGCCCACAATACAGGATGAGAAACCTCAAAACTCAGCTACATCTTTTATGCCAACTCTGCAGCAGTTAGGCATAGGCAACAGTGGCGGCCTGTCTGGTAATAATGGCTGACCTTTTCCAGCTGTCTCTACACAGGAGCTGAACTCAGCCCCCCGAGTAACTTTCCATTCTTAGCCTAGAAAACTTGATCCAAGCTGTCAATCTACAGGCCTAAGAGATAAGGCATGCTGGCTTATCTCAGAGCATTGCACGAGACCTGCTCAACAAGATCTCTTAAACTAATTCCGGAAAATGAGAACGGTTGAAGGATTATTGCATTTTAAGTAAACAGACTTCTATTCTGGAAGGTAAGCACAGACATGGAAGTTTTTGAGGCAATTCTGCTTATGTACATTCTTTTCCCTCACTCAAACAGAAATAATAGCATCCACAGAGTCAGGGACGGATTCTTTCCTAAGCACTAATTGATGGAGCAATGACAGTAAAAGGAAATAATAGTATTCTAGAACAATAGAAATGACTGATTTACAATTTCTTGAAGAACAAACTTCCGTAACACCTGATCTACAAATGCAGTTCTGTGGAACACTTCCTCATCAGGCAGAAATTACAGAAATCCTAGCTTCAGGGAGCTGTAGTTTTAGTTTCCTTAAGTAAAGGACACAGTGAGAAAGCTATTACTGTGTTATATAAAATAGTCCTCTATCTTTTCATCCCACTTTCCCTAAAGGCATTGTTGTTTCATCATAATTGTTTTCATCTGAATTACATGATAAACCATTATAGTTATATTTAGCAAGCAAATAAATCTGACAATGATAAATAAAGGACCGCTGCAGAGGCAAATGTCCATAACCCACAGATTGTTCATCCATCCTTTAAAAAAAGGGCAAAGTAGTAAAACTGTCCTTGTAATTAAAGAGCTTGCTGAATTTCCAGTTTAAATTACAAATCAGCTTCTCTA